CAAAGTTATTTTAGTACTTTTTAAACAATAAAACAAAATTTTGACCAAATTGCACTTTCTAGGAACCAGTTCAAACCCACCGCCCCCCAAGAAGCCACCACTCCAATTTCTATGATCTCGACATGCACTTTTTTCAAACCGCCTTATATGCATTGGGCTGGCATATTTTGTCTGATTGTTGTATTATATGTTTCGTGTTAGTGGGACCTTACATTTTAATTGTTTGTTTAAATCATTAAAAATTCATTCCGCAATTTCATTATTCATTCCATATATTGTTACATCATGCTTCAAAGGCACCGGGCATACCCTAGTAATAAACTGAATCAAAAGAACATATTCACAGTGTGCTCTCAACACTTTCACAAAACACAGTTTCTCTCAAAAAGGATAAAATTTTTATTTTTATTTAAACTTTGATGACATTATTAATTTTTTTTACATTTATCTAATATTGATTAACATAAGATTGTAAGTGTACTATAATTAAGCTTTTAGCAAAATTTGTTATAATGTTTTTCTTTTCTTTTCTTTTCTTTTTTTTTTTTAATTATAAGCAAAGGTCCGTAAAGTATCAAAAAATGGTCCTTTCTATTTGGGACACCATGTGACACATCATAAACCAATCACAAATCATCATGCCTTCTGTTGTTCCTTATCACCTAACAAAAAAATCATGGGTTCTACCTTCTCTACTAAGCCATGCAATAACACGTGGCTGTGCCGTTGAGACACGAGACAACTGTTCTAAAATATCCGTAAATTGTTTGGACTATCTTAATGTGTCATTGAAATGAAAATCAATGGTTGGACCTAGGATGAAACCTCTTACCTCACAAGCTATATCAAAAAGAAATTGCATAGTAAAAAAATTACATGTGTGAATGTTTTTATACACAGGAAAACATAATAGATTTGTATTATACACAGTTTGTTATCCTTGCTATTCAAGATTTTAGCATTCCTATGCGTAAATAGTCTGCGTTGCCTCTTAGCTTTTGTCGCCAATAGTTTGTTTGGATTTTATTGAGTGTCAACTCTTTTTTGGTTAGTGCTTTGATTGGTTATTGTTTGGATGCAATATAGGACTGCTCTAAATCATAAAAACAAGGCGCCTGATTTGTGCAAATTGGTCATCTGGTCATATTAAATTAGAACATATTTAATAGAAGCTGTGTTTGGATTTTTAGGTGTTTGGACAACTGGATTATGGATTTTATCAATTGCATATAACTAAAAACACCCTTGAATAAAATATGAATGAAAGCTAAGAGTTTTTTTTTTTGGCCCTTCCCTTGAATAAAATTTTTTCCTTTAAATATTTAGTTATACTTGAGACTTCAGCTCATTTCCCTCTTTTGTATGTATGGGATTACAAGATATTCTTTTGTTCCTGTGATTACAAGATATCTTTTCTTCTTTTTTTTCCTCCTGTTTTTATGTGAAGGGCTACCTTTTTTTTTTTCTTTTTTTTTCCTATTTCTTAGTCTCAGAGAATGTTAAGAAGTTGAGATATTCAAAATTGAAATTGAAACTCTCACACTCAGATTTTAGTTGGTTTTCCTGAAGGGAAAGCATTAATTGCTATAATTGAGAAGACACAGTGGTAATGAACCCATGCTGATCGGCTTTCCAATTGATACATTTGTTAAGCTTACTCATTTACGTTGTTATTTTTTCTCATTTGACAATGCCATTATCTATTAAAAAGAGAAACCCTTGTGTGATAGTGTTTGTCCACTATCAATACACCATTACAACAGTTCAATTTTGCAGACAAGTGGAATGAGATCAACTGAGGACACTAAGCTAGGATAAGTTCTATGGTAATTTCTACAAATACACCATTGTTGAGGAATTTTAATCTCTACTTTGTTCATTCTATTTCATGTGATATTTGTTATCTCTACTTTGTTCGTTGTTATTTATTTATTTGTTATTTCTTCACAATAGTATGGAGTCACTTGCTTGAAGTCAATTTAATTTTTATTTTTATTTTTTTTAGATTGCTTAGCACTGGCTGGTGTGCATTGTTTACTATTTATTTTAAATTTAGTTTTTTGGTATTGTAGAGCCATGGCTGGTGTGCATTGTTTGTTATATATATTTTGAATTCTATTTTTCTAGATTGCAGAGCACTTGCTGGTGTGCTTCATTTGGTGTTTAATAATTTTTTGGTATTGCAAAGCACTGGTTGATGTGCATTGTTTATTGTTTATTTTTAATTTCTAAATGGCTGGTATTATTTGGTAACGAGTGAATAATGAAACAAATATATATACCTGTGCTTAGGGGTTGTTATCTTTAATTGAGCTTTGTAGAGCGTGTGGTACCAACAAAATTGCAGAGTGTGGGTTTTAAAAACAATATTTCTTTATATTTCTCAATGTCTTAAGTTTTTTGTATGTTTTTCAATAAATTACATTTGTATTCAACTACATTTTGATCTCAATATTATTTATATCGTGTCATTATGCACCAGCATACTTTTTATTTTGTACTTTACATACCTCTTATTCTTCCCTTTGTATTTTGTTTATGTACCTGCTCTTCTCATCTTCATTGTAACCCTCTCTTTGAAATTAATTTTTATATTTTATTATCCGATTTGCTACTAAAATTGTTATAAGTTGTTTAAGAATAATAATATTTCTTTATATTTTTTTAGTGTCTTTATCAAAAAATCAAAAAATGATACAAACTCTAAAGTAGGTTGTATGTTATAAGTATGTTAGGAGGTTATTAATTTTGTGTCGATTAATTTTTTTTATGGCAATTATTAAACCTCATTTTGCCTTCTTGCAGTTATCTTTTTCAAATTGACATAACTAGACATTTTCAGGTTGAGACACTCTTGACCTTTAACTTCTAATTATGGACAACATTACTATTTTTGGTCACGTAAGTTGTTTTATTTTTAATTTATTTGAAAAAAAAAATACAAAATGCTAAGTGACCTTTCTTATAAGTCTAAGTTAATTTTCTTTTCTTTTCATTATTTTTTATCTGATTTCCTTATAACAAAATGCTATTTTCTTATATTTTACAGATGGATGGAGACCTACGTCAAACTGTAATATTGACTCCTTTTACTCATTTTCTTACATGCATATATTTTTTAATTTTTTTTACCTCTAATTCTTTTGTATTTATAGGTTCAATTTCTTGAAGAAAGAAATGCTAATGTTGTCATCCGTGATAAGCATGACCTTAATGTCATCCGGGTTCGAGAGGTAGGCCCAATTTAATTATATAGAATTTTTTTTAATTGTCGTATTTTTTAAACTTTCTAAATATATATATTTTTATTGCGCACACCAGTGTTTAGTCATGGACAACTGTACGTGGCCCTATCTAGATGCACATCTTTTGATCGTACAAGTGTCTTCCTTCCCAACGATGAGCTAGATTCTACTACAAATATTATTTATCTTGAAATTTTGTTATAGTGTTACTTATGGATCAAATCACTTTTGTCAAAAGGTACAATTTATTTATTGACAAATTTGTTTCTATTGATTACAAATTATTATTTTAAATTTTTTTTGCTATATATGTTGACTTTTGTAGGATTGGGTTAAAAAATATATGGACCTCAAAAAGATAAATACAATTAGATTGCTTTGACAGGGATGTAACAAGGTAATTTCAATTTAAAAGTGTTTTGATATTTATATAGATTTTCTTCTACTAACAAACTAACTTTTTTATTTTCATAAATTACTAGATTGTCGCGCATACTTCTCATTGGAGATATATAGAAGTTGAAACAAATACTTTTTGGAAAGTGATGAGGCGCTCTTAGGAATTCTAAGAAAGAACAAGTTTGAAGATCATATTTATTTTTGTAAAAAGCGTACATATGCTAGCTACGATCTAGATTTTGTAAAGTTTCATATCGATGTAAATTTTAGTTTCGTAAAGCCTTTTATCTATGTGCAATTTATAAATAAGTTCAGATGTATATTATATAATATTTATTTGAATTATTCACTTGGTGTTATAGTCTTTTTTTCTTCCTAATATGCTATTGAATTAGCGTAAAGAAAACTTCATATTTTTTTTTTGGTTGAATTTGATTTTTTGCTTCCGTATATATTTTTATCAGGAAGGGTGTTGCTTTTAATATAGGATTGGATTGTGTACGTATTAATCTTTTAAAATAATTGTTTATTGCACAATTTTTTTTATATATATTTTTTTTGAATTGCAACGTACGGCTGGGGTGCTTAATTTGTCATTTTTTTTTTCTATTGTGGAGCACTGATTGGCCTGCTTAATTTGTTATTTGTCCTTTTTTTGTATTATAGAATATTGGTTGATGTGCTTAATTTATTATTTGGCATTTTCTTTATATTGCTGAGCATTGACTGGTGTGCTTAATTTATTGTTTATTTTTTTCTATTGCAGAGCACTGACTGGCGTGTTTCGTTTGATTTTTATTATATGTTTGTGTTGTGGGACTTACATTTTATTGTGTGCTTAAAATCATAAAATCATTCCAATTATATTTTCATTCCAATACTGCCTCCGCCCCAAAATATTAGTCCCTTATTCCATTTTTCATTGTCCCAAAATATTAGTCTCTCTTTAAAAATCAAGTACAAAAATGATATAAATTTCCTATTTTACCATTCTTTTAAATTAATAAATAATATAAAAAGTACAATTATGACATTGATATTCCTAAAAAATGTACTATCAAAAGGGTAATTTTGAAAAATCAATTGTACTACTAAAAAAAGTTGGATTCCCCAAAAGGGACCATTATTTTGGGACAGAGGGAGTAATAGGGCATACCCTAGTATATATATATATATTAGTGGGTTTGGGGTTAAATATGTAAAATATATAAGTGTATTGGCTATGTATCGCCCAAATGATAAAATTATTCAGTGTGTTTAGTTTGAGTTTTATGGATTAAGTTTTTTGAAAATTGGCTTTTTTGATTTTCGTATTTTTTAGTTTTTAGTGAATATTTTTTAAATTTTAAACATTTTTTTTTACTTTTTTAGATGCACCTTACTTAGATGTATCTAAAAAGTAAAAAATTTGTGAAAAAATATTTAAAAAAATTAATAAATACATAAAAATATAAAAAATGTATTAAATTCTTGTATTTTTTGTATTTTTTGGTATTTAGTGAATTTTCTAAAAGATTTTTTTTACAATTTTTTTTACTTTTTAAGTGTATTTATGTTAGGTGTGTCTAAAAAGTAAAAAAATTGCTTAAAATATTAAAAAAATTCAATAAAAACAAAAAAATACGAAAAATAAGAAAATAAAATTTTCTGAATAGTGTTTTTTGAAAAGTGAAAACAAGCAAATTGTTTTGCATATCAAAGGTCCTGAGTTCAAACCCCATTCTCCCCATTTTGTATTTTAAATAATTGTTTAGGGAAAAATCTAAAATATAGGTAATGTTATGGTACACACCTTTCAAAATGTATGTATTATATGTAGCATTGTTAGTATTTTTTTTTAGTAGAGTTATGGTGTATTTTTTTTTTTTAAAATTTTATGGTAGAGTTATGGTTAAAAATATATATATAACATTATCTCAAAATACATAATTTTATTTTTAAATTATAAATTGTTGTCTACCAAAAAATTAGGTTATATTTACCACAAAAATTCATAATAGAGTGCATATGATATACACGTTTGGATAGATAGATAAAAGGATAAATTACAAATATACCTTCTGAGATTTACTTAAAATATAGATTGCTCACTATGATTTAAAAAATTACAAATACCCTCTATTAAATTTTTTATTTAACAAAATTAACTGAAAAATTAAAATTCCTAATTGTTCTCTTATATAATAATAAGAATGGTAAATTACAAATATACCTCTTAAGATTTAAAATACGATTTGCCTTATGTGGTTCTAGAAATTACACCTCACCTCTTAAAATTTCTAATTTCATCACAAGTAACCCATTTTATTAATAAATCATGAAATTAATTAGCAGTTTTTGATGATATCATAAATTTATTTCAATTAATAATTCAAATAATTTTATTATTATATAGGAGAATAATTAGAAATTTTATTTTTCTTAGTTAATTTTTTAAATAAAAAATTCTAACAAATAGATATTTATAATTTTTCAAATCACATGGAATAATTTATATTTTAAGCAAACCTCAAGGCGTGTATTTATAATTTACCATTATTTCGATTAATAATTCAAATAATTTTATTATGGGTAAATTACAAATACACCTCTTGATGTTTGTTTAAAATACGGATTGCTTTCTGTGGTTTGAAAAATTACAAATATCCCTTATAAGAATATTTTATTTAACAGAATTAATTGAAAAAATAAAATTCCTAATTATTCTCCTATACAATGATAAAATTACCTAAATGATTAATTGAAATAAATTTATAATATCATTAAAAACTGTTAATTGACTTAATAATTTATTAATAAAATTGGTCATTTTAATGATTTATTAAATTGTATTTTAAGCAAATCTCATGCAATGCATTGGTAATTTACCCTTAAAATAAATTTCTGACATCATTAAAAATTGTTAATTAATTTGATGATTTATTAATAAAATGAACAATTTGTTATGAAATTAGAAATTTCAAGAGACGAGATATAATTTCCAAAACTACAGGAATAAATTGTATTTTAATCAAATATCAAAAAGTCTATTTATAATTTACCCTAGATTGCTTCTCTCAAGTTGGCTATCTGAACTTGAGAGAGTGTTTAAGTTTGGTAAGCTCATTTTTGGATCGATTTTGGTGATTCGAACTACTCACTTTTTAGGATTCGTCGAGTAGAATATTTATATAATAAATTAAGAGAATCGAATATTGATAACTATATATTTGAATCAAATTTATATTACAAAAAATGAATGACTATTATTAAAATTATATTTATCGTTTATTTTTTAAAAACAAATATGATTCAAACATATAACTACCTATATTCAATTATCTTGATTTTTTGCACGAATATTCTACTCAACGAATTCTAAAACATGAATAATTCGAATAATTGAAATCGACCACAAAATAAACTTACCAAGTTTAAACTCTCTTCCAAATTAATATGAAATTTAAAACAACCAAACCCACAAAAGCCAAACTTTTTGATTTTTAACATTTTCTAAATCATATCACCTTTTTATTTTTTTATACAATTTTTAAAAAAAAATTAAACAATTAATTTTTTACCAATTTTCCAAAAAAACTACACGGTTTTTGGCAGGACAGGCATGGGTATTGCAAGTGCAGATGTACATGAATGGATGTCTAGAGTGGAGATTGAAAGAGTTGCGTATGGGATGACCTCAGAATAGACAAATGCAAGCTTCGCCATGTCCGACCACCGCCGCCTTTGTCGTTGTTATATTAAAAAAACATAGTCAAATTACCATCGCATATAGCTTCAGGTTAACAATTTCTCTGAATTTTAAAATTTGTGGGGGCTTATCACAATTCATAATGTGGTTTATTTTATAGATAATGTCATGGTATATATATATATATATATATATTTTTTTTTGATAAAATACCATTAAATCTCGAATTAATATTTGTTGCACCATTTAGTCATGAAATTTATTGATGTTAGAAATGGTTTTGAAAAAAAACAAAATTTTTCATCAACTTTGATCTAATTTTTAGGTGAGACCCATGCGCCAAATTTGTGGAGCTAAGTGGTAACGCATTCTATGTCGCGTTGTGATTTACGTAGTATATTTGGTTGCTCAAAACCATTATCTGGTGAATAAAAAATTGAAGCAAAAGTGAGCTCTATGGAAATGGAGTGTTTGGTGAAAATTCCTTAAGGTTTGAATAAAGACTTGTCCCACATTGGCCCCGTTTGGGAAGTGGCTATTTTAGAGGCTTTTTGGCTTTTTTGCTATTTTAGTAGGCTATTTTAGTTTTTGTGTTTGGGAAGATGATATGAATTTTTATTTGAGTTGTTGTATTGAAAAGTGTGTTAAAATGATGTTTGAATTTAAAATGACTAATTTGTCCCTAATATTATAATTTTTTAAATTGATGTAAAGGGGCAAAATTGTAATTTCCCAAGTGATGTAACAATTTGACACTTTGACTCACGGCAGCTGATGCTATTTTTTTTTTATTTAATAAAAAGGGGTGAATAGTGGGGCTTTTTGGCTTATTTTTCATTTGAGGCTATAATAGCCTCCAATTGCTCTTCCCAAACAACGCCAATATAACAATCATGAATATCTCATATAATGGTTAATAAGAATTACACCTAATATGAATTAACCACTTTAATATTTAATATTCAATGTCATAAAATTATATCATGATATCAAAAGCTCCATAGAAATGAAGTGTTTGGTGGAAATTCCTTAAGGTTTGAATAAAGGCTTGTCCCACATTGGCCTCGTTTGGAAAGTGGCTATTTTAGAAGCTTTTTGGCTTTTTTGCTATTTTAGTAGGCTATTTTAGTTTTTGTGTTTGGGAAGATGAGATGGATTTTTATTTGAGTTGTTGTAATGAAAAGTGTGTTGAAATAATGTTTGAATTTAAAATGACTAATTTGTCCCTAATATTATAATTTTTTAAATTGATGTAAAGGGGCAAAATTGTAATTTCCCAAGTGGTGTAACAATTTGACACTTTGACAGTGTAGGCTGTGCCTACACTGCCGGCAGCTGCAACCTATTTTTTTTTTTTTTTGAAAAACTTTGAACAGTGGGACTTTTTGGCTTATTTGTAATTTGAGGCTATAATAGCCTCAACCTTTTCTTTCCAAACAGCGCCATTGGTTTGGTGAGAAAACTTTTATAGGTTTATAAGGCTTGAGTTTGTAACTTGGAGAGGGCCCCAAGGGGCATCCCAAATTTGTAGAAGGGAGGGGTTATGGCCAAATTGGGCTAGACCCACTGGATCCAAAAATAAAAACACGGCTACCACTGCCGGCCGATTAGGTGGGCTTGGATGCAGGTGCATAGTGTGAGGTTGGGTTGGGCTTGT